CTCGAGACTCCAATAAAACTAACAAACCAATAACATAATATATTCTAGCGGTTGATATAAAATGTATCTCTCACATCGCCCGTCTCCTTGTCAACGATAGTATGAATATATATTAGATATGATATGATTGCAGGCCTGATATACTGCCGTACTGTGACGGAGCTGGTACTTTAACGTTATACCTACTGTGTCCACAGGCGAGGAGTAAGCATAAACACAATCGAAATCATTGTTTCATAAGACGCGAAGCAAGACGTAAATATAATTTTTGTATGTATATGAAACCACGGAAGCATTTAGTATACTTAATATGAACAGCAAACATGATTATAAATACAAAACACAGCTATACATACATTCGACATTTTAAATGGAGCTCCAATGATTTCTTTCACTTAAAAAGATTTTTTACCTCATTAGTTGAAGCTTTCTGGTATTCCATATGTTAACTCTTCTGAATTTCGTTATAAGCCCAACCATTACACATTTGCTTTCGCAGGATCCATATCCTTTCAATATTATATAGTATGTTTTTCAATCCTAACACTTCTCCTCAGCTTAAATAACGTTTTGAACTCTTAAACATCATACATTCAAGGGTATTTAGGCCTGCGGATAACTTTATGTTGTAAAGGCCAACACATTCTATTGCTATTGATTTAATAAGGCCCTACATAAACTCTCTTTACTTCCAATGGTTGCAGTTTCGTATAATTTCTTAAGTTTTTGTAAAACAAAGAGTTTATCTCTCTATTTATGAATTAGGTAGCACACCAGCCTAAAATACACTGATGTGTCTTAAAACTTTTCACAAATAAAACAGATGGTTCGGTGTGTAACTGATTGTAGTCTATAACTGTTATATAGAGAGCGGACACGTGTCCTCGGCTGTGTCGATAGTAACGCCTGAAATGAAACAAAAGCCAAATCCAATTATAGAATATGTTTTAGTTTTATTTCGCCAGTTAAAAGAGTCACTCAAAACGCAATCTATACTAATATTATGAATGTGAAAGTATGTCTGTCTTTCTGTATGTCTTTCTGTTACCTCTTCACGCTTAAACTGCTTGACCGATTTAGATAAGATTTAGTATGGAGATACGTTTGTTTGCACTCATACAATATTATCATTGGACAACTTGTTGTTCATTTTAAATCATTCCAGTCTCACAACCCGCTTATAAACAGGTATTAAATTCACAAAATGCTATAGACGCAAGAAATAGCAGTGCAGACTTAAAAACTGAATTAGGCAAACATCCAACTTTGTTCGCAGAAAACACTGATAATGAAAGTTACGCTATACCTCGCTAAACGATTCTCAAGACAGACAAAGCTTTGTTTATGTAAATATTGTAAACATCGTTCGGGTACTGCGAACTTGAAAACAGGAAGCCTCCTAGTTCGTGCCTGAATGTGGTAAAACTGATGTATTGCTCTACGCAAACATTGTGAATATCTACGTGAATCAATATTAATAATTAAATAAAAATTCAATTATATAACAAATTTACCCAAAGTAAATGAGACTGCAACGGATAATGTCACGTCAAGGCTTGCATGTAATAAGTGAGATTACCAAGTCGTATAAATTCGTTACAAATGAGCGAAGTTGTAAACTTGCAACAAATCATTAGTCAGAGGCGCGTGGCGCAGCGCACTCGACCACGGCGCCGCGGTCACCACCCGATACGTGACTCGGCGAATTTACACTCTCGATAAACACAATATTCGCTCTACCAAGTATTTCTAAGCAGCACCAGAACAAGTATTAATCTTTACTCGCCTTCACCATCATGTACTATTAATAAGTTCTCACTATTCAAAAGCTTGTGTTGCGTTCCACGAATTGAAGTAATTTCAGAGCGCAAGTGCCACGAAGAAGGTGGAACTTCATCTTTGAGTTTGAGGGGCAGAGCGATGGGGTAGGGGGACATTCTTCAACCGTATTCGTTTTAATTAGGTCCTGCTTAATTATATCTGCCCGTCTACGACTCCGAACCGTGCAGATAAGCCTCTCAAATACTTGTTTTGTTCGAATTACAACCTCCTCTGAACTCCGCTACGGCCGTGGCGCGGCGTCGCCCAACGCTGTAAATGACAAGCTAAAATGCTTATTTTGTCTTTAAGTCGCAAAGTTACTGATGAGGAAATGGGGCCGACTTCAAATACAGAATGACGAACAACATAGGTTCACTGTTGTAGGGAGAAACTTCTAAGGTGCTGCTACTAATTCTCGGAACACAACTCGCGTTAAGTGTTCATTGAATATGTGCTTTATAACACTACTAAAATTGAGCTCTGACGATCTTACTTCGCCAGTCAGGTCGAGCCTTCGTAAACTCTCTCGTACTGTTCCTCTAAAACGAAAATTTATATAGCTTCAACTGTTTTAAAGTAGCAAAGGTTTTTTAATTCATTTCATTTTAATGCTGCAAAGTTTTACTACTTTAAATTGCTTAATTTTTTCAAAAGTCGTTTTGGACAATTTATTTGTTTTTTCTACCCAAAAGCCAAAGTGTCCCGCTTAGTCCAAGTGCTTACAGTTCAAGTGTGAGTGATATTAAAAATATTCGCCTACTGTAGAACCATGTGTATCACAACAGCCGGTCCAACGAGCCAGAATATTACCCGTAGTAGTGATCGTATCATTCTGCAGTTAAGTTTTTTTTAATTTAAGGAGATTAAATCTTATCCTATTAGAATTTTAATTAGTCATCATCATCATCAACAGCCTTTAATAGTCCACTGCTGGACATAGGCCTCTCCTTAGAAAGAAGGTTTTGGACTACTATACCACGCTGGCCAGACGGGTTGGTATAGGGTTTGTGTCAAGTTTTCCTTCTCTCTGCAGTGCTGTTGTACTGCGTAGTTTTCTCCCTTAGTCGGCTTTTACGACACCCACGGGATGAATAGGGATGGTGACACCTTGTATTCTTAATCCGTCACCACACGGACACAGTTAGTGTCAGATCAAAAATAAACATGTGAATGTGTTGTCAAATTCTTCGCTACTAAATAAAGGTAACATACTAGAAGTTACCGTTAACACTAATCGTTGACTCGTCAAATTACTCGTAGATGAAAAATCGATTTTTGAGGTTCAGTCGCTCAGTGAGTCGGTCACCTCCGAAAAGTATGATTTTCAAAAATTCAATTTTCTCAAACTTTTAAAGTTTTTAAACTAGTCATGGCAATTAGGCAATGAGTGGCCCCTTGTTGCGCATACGCAATTGAACTTCAGTAGGTTTACGTGATTTTGAGTTAGTTGGGGTCTGAAAATGATTCGCGCGAATAAATCCTAGTGTAAAGCTTTTGGAATCTTTAAACTTTTTAATTCTCTAGTGTTACTTATAGGTCAAATACTAAATATAATGTATTGCGGTTACATTCAAGAATCCAAAGGAAAACAGAAAAAATAGCCAAGAATAGAATCCCACTATTGAAAAGTACAACAGTTACAATTACAAAAATAAGATAGATAGATAGATAGAAAGATAACTCTTTATTTGCACACTAAATGACAGAGTTACAAGAAAGGAACACAGCGATCAAATATCGAGTGTACAAAGGGCGGCCTTATTGCTACATGCAATTTCTTCCAGGCAACCTTTGGATGGATCAATGGATCAAAAGTTGCAGAGAGACAGTAGTAGTTGAATATCTGCATTTGTGAACCTACTATTAGTTTATTATTTTCTACTATACATATTACATATACTACACATATTATATTATCTACAAACATTTTCAATTTTTATACTTACATCTACAATGCATATCACAATAAATAAACCTACATATATATATAAGTACCTCCATACTATACCAGCAAATATACATATACACATATATATATATATATATATACGCATTCTTAAATGAATAAACATATAGAAAAGAGAAACAGTTTCGTTACACCCCCAGGCGTGATGAACTCAATTAAGGTGAATAAAATTCCTGTACCATTTTCTTGAATCTATTTAATGTTTGCGCCTGCCTGATGTTAAGCGACAGTGCATTCCACAAGCACACAGCTTCAACAGTGAAGGATTGATCATAAAATTTGATGGAATGCAGTGGCATCTCCAGTTGTAAACTTACGGATGACCGCAGACATTTTTCGTGTGTGTCATTAAGGAACTTGAATCGTTCTTTGAGGTAGAAAGGGGTTTTGGGATTAAACAAAATGTTGTAAAGGAAAATAAGGATATGAGTATTCAGGCGAGAGCGAATTGGAAGCCACTTGAGCATTTGACGGAATTCAGAGACGTGATCGTATTTTCGTAAACCAAATACGAATCGTATACACATATTTTGTAGTCGCTCAAGCTTATCGAGTTGTGCTTCAGTGAGATTCAGATAGCTGACATCGGCATAGTCGAGAATCGGGAGGAGAAGTGCTTGTGCAAGCGCAACCCTAGTTGCAGTTGGAAGGAATTTGCGTAGTCTTGCATCCTAGACTGACCTCTTGCATCTGTGAACCCCATGATAAAGTGTTGTCTATGTAGATCCCTAAATTTTTTACAGTAGTGCTTATCTCAAGAGTTGTGCCACCGAACTGAATTTGGGGCAGTAGAGTCCAGTTAACTTTTGAGATCAGCCTGGGGCTGCCAATAACACACACCTGTGTCTTCATAGGATTAATCATAAGTCCATAGTTATAACTCCACTCGCCAATGCGTTGAAGGTCAGCGTTCATTATGTTGAATGCATCCGATAATATGTTAATCATAACATGATAACATGATAAAATAAGTTCAAGAAATTAAAAAAAAGATCAAGAAATAAAGATCCAACAACATCTCAACATCGACATGAACTATAAATTTTCTTAATTAATTAAATTTTATATTTTATTATATTTTCTTCATTCTACAACTAATCTTTTAATGTCCATGCACCTAATTAAGGACTAATAATTGAACGTGAAATCATTCAATAATATATAAACCTTTGAAGGCAGAGTTTTTGTTTAATTATTTACTAAAACTGCAGAAATGCGAGGTGTAAATGATGATTGCGGTGTGGTGATTGTTGCAGCGTCGGAGGCACAGCTGGGCATGAGCGGGGTAGTGGGTGCAGCGGGCGCAGGTGCGGGCGCGGTCTGCGCGCTGGTGGCGGGCGCCTGTGCTCTGTCGCTGCGCCGGCGCCGTCGACCGCGCCTCGCCAAGCCTCCGCCCGCCTCCGCCACGCATGCACCACCTGCAGGCAAGCAGCCCGACCACGACGACGCTGAGCCAGACCTCATACCTAATAATTACTGTAAGTATTGGTATTAGCAGACGGATACCAAGATTACAAATTTATTTTCTTATCATCATTTTTCATGATCATGCATGATAAATATACTATTGGAAAACAGATTGTAATATCAACGAAACATTATAGGCACCCGACTAATTTGCTAGTAGTCTTTCAATCAAAGCACATAGACCTCAGAGGTTATAAACCTCACTAATGGACTTGCCATTGCTGAACATTAAGCACAGGACATCCCACTGCAGATTGGGAAGAAACATTAGTAAGGATTTAAAAAAGATTTTCATGGCAAATAAATAATGGCAGATTTAAAATTTTAACGACAAAGTGTATGAGATTGGGCATGTTTTTTCTCGCTGATAATATTTCTAGCTACAGTAAAAGATACAATGTCATTAAAATAAATTACTCTTTGATTTTTAAATCCATGAATAACTTAACTAATGATGTAGGCACATTATAATAGAAACATTTAAATAGAACCTGAGTCCGGCACAGAAAAGTTTCTTCTATTCTAATCATACAAATCGATTCGATTACAATTAAAAATGTAATTACTGGTTGTGCAGTGCCTGGGACCCTACGTGATGCGATGTTTGCATGCAGCTAACAAGTGCCCAGCTTGCACCCACCGACTATTTAGCATTCAAGATTTGTCATTCGCGTTTGTGTTCTTGTTAAACGAATGAATACATTTTCTGTTTTCACTAAACGAGTCACATGACTACAATAGTTAGTGTTTAACTTTGACTGCACGGATGGCGTAGTGGTTTAAGCGGTCGCCACGCCGCTTCCTACTACGCCGAGTGTTGTGGGTTCAAACCCCACATGGGACGACACTTTGTGTGATCCACAAATTGTTGTTCCAAGTCTGGGTGTTCTTTGTGTCCGTTTCATGTATGTTTGTAAAGTCCTCCGCGACACAGGATTTATTCCTAATGCGGGAGTTGCACGTTGTGCGTCTTTTTTTAATAAGAAAAAACTCAACTCAGGTCGGGTAGGTCGTGATAATGGTGAAGTTCTTGGCCTCACGTATTGAATACTCTCGAGGTCGAATCAGTCGCACTTGATTCTTTAATGTTATCCTTCAATTCACTTATTTACAGTTTAAGCTTTAAATTTATTTAGAAACCGCCTACAATGATATAATAGATGCAAATTTAAAATGTTAATATTACCAAGTGACAGGTTCAGTCTCTCCTTGACTGATTCTATGAACACACAATTAAACATGTATTTCATTTCAAAAATAATAAGCTGTATTCTTTATTCATTCATTTTCATTAATTTTCCACCTTTAGGCCACCATGATTTTTTTCATATTTAAATGCAATATAAAGAGGAACTATATTCCAAAACAAATTAGTTCCTAAAAAAATATGAGGTAAAAATACAATCGAACTGAGAACGTTCTCCACTTTTTGAAGTCTCTAACAATTCCCTATACGGACTACTTTTTTAGTTAAAATAAATTTACAAGAGAATAGTTTGCCATTACGTACATAAAATTGCATGATGCAAATACGACCTTATGACATAACCTGCGGAATTCCACTAGTTCTCCTTTTCGAAAAAAGTTAATTATAAAATCTAGGTAACACTAACATTACTCGACAACTGTGACGAAGTGCTACAATATTGCAAATTAAGGATCACCATTCAAATATTCATATAAAGCAAATTACACAGAAAAGGCATAGAAAGGGTTTCGCGGGGGTTGGGTGAGGGGAGCACACTTTGCGTGGTTTAAAAGGCAATCCTCATAAAAGCTTAATATACAGCTGGAAGTGGCCGTCGTCACGAGACCCATCACGAGTACCGCTGGACACACACGGACACACACACGTGTAAACTTCACATCGTTATGACGTTGCTTCGCTCTCGTGTATTTGAGTTTTCTAAACGCGCCTCTCGTGGATATTTCAGTGGCGGCCTTTGTGCGCGTAATGTCATTATTTCCACGAGGTACCTCTGAGGCATTAAGAACATACACACTCTGAAGTATTACGAACCCACGCTAATGCATCATACTTTTTTCATCTAGTTCGACTTGGTTATTGAAGTTTTGCATGACGACGCACGTGTTGCAAGGTAAGGTATTCATCACTGGCCATTGATATAATAGTTTTAACTCAATGTCACTGGCTATTGCCGGCGTCTTCGCTCGCGTGTTTATCTCCTATTTCGTATGCCTAAATTTAAAAATGAACCATCCCATACAACCATTCATCCATTAATTTAATCCTTTCTTAGAAATCCTTTCTAAATAAAAGGCATCAGCTGCCAAAATTTCAAGTTTGTAGCCCCAGCAGTTTAGGGTCGTTTATGAATTAGTCAGTCAATTATTTTATATGTATAGATTCAAGTTTCTTACTGTTGTTGTGCGTGTTTATAAAAATAAGAGAGCTGTAATAAAATATGTGTTAATATTTTGAAGTTTTAGGGAAAACTTTATCTTTGTGACAAGTAGAGATATTATAATTACGGTTGTATTAAACGCACTAATATTGCGACGCGTATAATAATATCGTCGTTCAACAGAACTACACACGAGCACCATATAATAAATCATCATGCAAATAAAAATAAATTCGTGTTCCCATTTAAATTCAATGAGCGGATTACATAAAGATCCCTCCTCAGTGAGTGCTTCCGCGACGTGAGGCATTTGTAACGGTTCAAGGTTGTTCGCAGTCGATCACAAATAATGAGAGATTTATATTTTATTTACCGTTTACTTACAAGTGTGCTCACTGGCGGTGACTACTGTGTAGTTTACTCATTTACTTGCGGCTGTGGTTTTAGATATGGATTAACGAATATTTATTACCGCTGAGATTTATCGTCTGCAAACACAATAGTGAATCTAATCAACGTTTATACATGTTGCCTCTCAATGTGGTTTAAGGGAAGAGAATTGTAAAGATTGCGATAAAATTGCATACAGAGTCATACTGTAATACTGGGGCCAAGTACAATATTCTATAAAAATCTAGTTATATTTACAAGCTTGCCAGTGTTAAACAGAGAGGCGGTGAGTACGCGGCACGTGCCGTCACGACGCGGTACGCTAACGACAGTGCTGATTAAAAGCTAATGTGAATGGTAGACAGCGCCAAGTAAGTTAGGGGAACCGCAGATAGCGAGCTAGCGATCGATGGCGAATTAATCTGACACTGCTAGTTGCAGTGACATTAGCAGCACGCCGCGCGCCGCCCCGACCCGGACCGAAGAACAAGTTTTTGTCAAACTGATCCAAAACTTACAACAACTACTATAACCTCTTCTAAATCAATTAAGACGTTTCGGCTTAAACATGAGGTTATTAAACAATCCCAAGTAGATCTTAAATCCACTACACGGATAGGCGAACTGAACACTCAAAGTGTTGCATCTCACGTATAGCTAATTAATAAAAAAGTTTTATTAATTATAAGAAATATTAATGACAATTGTAAATACATGAAGGCCGACACGATAATGTGAGATATGAGTTGCTGCAATCAGCGCACAGTAAACAGGGCGCAATCACACGCCGCCATTTTATCAAATGAAAACGCTTGTAAATCAGTTTAATTGCATATTCCTACATGAAGCGTGGTGACAATGACATGTAGATTACTTACTCATAAAAACTACAATAAAGAACACAAAAAGGCAAGGCAATAAGTGCCGGCGCTGTCCAGAGACTCATCTATTGGGATGGTCACTGCATTGCACAATGGTTGACGTAAACTCGAGAGGTAAGCGAAAATTAAAGAAATCACATCGACCTTTGACCGTTAATTCTTAATAAGTGGAGTCATTTTGTATTCATGGGAGTGTCATGGTGGAAGACTAGTAATGGGCCAAAAGGTGTTACATGGGTTCACAAGGAGACTCCCATTATTAATCGTTGCAGCATTCTCGCTCTAAAAGCCCTCAAAACAATACAAAGGAGTCTGCATCCTTGAGAGGTTTATTTATACTTCTATACCTAATTGTTACTGGAACAATAGAGAGAGGAAGAGAGAGAGAAAGAGAGAGAAGAAACACAATCCTATCTATCACCACAAAAGCAATAGGTTATGATGGGATTCAACAACAAATGTTGCGGCGTATCGTAAGGGACCTCTTTCCAGCTATCACTCATATCATAAATTTCTCCCTTAAAGAGAATGTGTTTCCATCACTCTGGAAGAAGGCTCATATTGTCCCCTGATGTTTCTTTTCTCGACGTTACCGAAGAACTCTGGGGTAAGCTAGAACGGTTATAACAACTCTGTATCCGCTTCATGTTTGGCTTAAAAATCTTTCCTTACTCTATTCAACTTTAAACAAACCTAATTCTCCTTCATATCTCCGTGAGCGCTTCAAGCACTTTGTTCCCAAGAACAATCCTTGTCGCTCTTCTCCTCTCCTCCTTCTAACTCCCTCCCACACTTCGAGTCGTTATGTCAATTCTTTTAGTATTGCGGCTGCCCTCCTCTGAACTTGTTCAGGAAGAGAACCAGGTATGATTATCTGTCTCTTCAATAATCAGACCCTTAGTATGTATGTATGTGTGTATTTATGTATGTATTTATACGTATAATATATTTTACTATACTAATTAATGTCGGTATTTGTTGAAATTATATTACTAAGCAGCACTAGCAATTATGAGGATAATAATTAGTAGATAGACATAATTAGTTCTGATATCTGATATTTTTAGAACAATTCGTTATTGGGTAAGAGAAAAACCAAAAAAATATCAAATAGTCCCAATATGACTATTTGTAAGTAAGATATTATCTAAGTGGGTTGCGAAAGGCACCACTCTCGCACAAATATTCCTATAAATCCTAGACGACCTCACTTATTTTCTGCTCCGCCAGCGACTTGCTTTGGACTCAATTTGTTTTCAATACGGGTTCTTCGAAAACTTCGGTAGGGTTCAGTGAATTAAAATAATCCAATCTGAATATACATATTGCTATATTAGTATATTTGTAAATGTATTTCTAACGGATATTATTAAA